TGGTTAAAGAAATTTCGAAATTATGGTAAGATTTTTATGATGTGGGTATTTCATCATCATCATTAGATATTTATAAATGCTCTGCGTTATCAAGCGATCTTTATGTAATACCTATTACTGATGTGCGGGCAAAATGTTACATGATGTTATATTGGAAAACTATTGATGACGAGAGTTCTGATTCCAGCAGTGATTCCGAAACCGATAAGCCGGTTGCTGGTGAATATGTTATATCAGTTCTTTTATAGGAACTATAGGAACCTACAGTAACAAAAAAACACTTAAAGGAGATAATGAAAAATAAAAGGGCAAAAACATGAGTATATACACAATCCAATATTATTAAATAAAAGTGATGAATGAATGTTTCCTCGAAATAACTCAAATTGTATATAAAACTTGTATAGTATTCTAACATAGTAATATTATTCGTAACATTGTACATATTCCATTTTTACAAGTTCCTTACTGTATTATATTTTATTAGTGTATAAATTATATTACAAATTTTGTGTAAATAAAATTAAACAAGATACGTCTATTAATGCATTGGTCAACCGTATAAATTACATTGTCAAAATATGATGATATTGATTTCTTTCATCAATGCAGAGATAATCCATTTAAAAATCAGTAATATTTGTACGCAGCAAAATGTTTGATAGCTGATAAGAACAGTAGAAATCGCCATTAAAAAGATGATAAAAGTATTTACTGCGGCATTTAAATGGAATTTTATGCATGGAGTTTAACTTCTTTAAATTCTTTTACTTTTATACATTTAAAGGTAGTGAGACTCATTGAATGATGAATAACCAACGCAAAACTCATATACGTCGTAAACAAGCATTCCTTTCTAAGGCTGGAGTTGCTAACAGTAAGGTTCAGAGGTTGAAACAATTTCGTTTAAATCAGTAAGTTCTGTAGTTGATATTATGAACTATCTTTTATTGATATTATGAAAATTTATTGCAGATATTGGAAAAAATAGTAATTTAAAAAAATTTCTAGTAATAGAATAAAATATTGAATTTCAGAAACGTTCAACGTCCTACGAGGAATATTACAAAACCAAAGAAGTATGTGACGACTTTAAGTCAGACGAAGCACCGTCGTTAAGAAAGAAAAAAAAACCAGAAACAGAGAAACCAATTAATCTCGATAAAGATGTCGATGAAATTCGCAATGCGCCAAACGATGCTTCTACAGCAATTCTTCCAAGTCAGGAGTCAGAAAGAAGCAACATGTGAACAACTTGGTCCTCACCGATTAGAGACGACGTAGCAGTTACGAATGAAAAAGTTGCGGTTGACCGCAGTTACACGCAACTGATGTCAGGAACTTCAACTTCCATTACACGTGTTGGTGGTATGTCACTTAATATTCGACATGTGAGATGTAATATGTCTGTAATGATTTATAAAAATAGCTTCCATATGAAAAGCCTTGTAAAAGAAATGTGTTTATAAACTAATTATTTGACTGAAAAATAATGCACTTGAAATTTGAAATACAATTGAAATCAATTTCTTGAAGATAGAATGTAATTTACGTGGAATGTTAATGTAATGGAATGTTAAGATGTCTTAAAATTAATTTTAAAATTTTGATTTCACTGCTTACGTTTGAGAAAAAAGAAATATTTTTGAGGTGAAATCTTTGCAGTCAATGAATGTAACATCTCTGAAATAGTTTTATATTATAATTATAAAAATCTTTAATAATTTATTTAGTTCATTCTTATTACAAGGCAACTCGAAAGCACTAATAGAGCATCCACTTTTACCGAAGATCAAAGCGTGTGTCCTGATGATTCCGGAACACTAAATCCACTGTTACATTTGCAAAGTCTGCAACAAATGCCGCAAACAAGCGGATGCACTGGAGGATACTCTGAAACTATTATGGGAAATTATTGCTATCAACGGCATGATAGATATGACGGATATGACTATCCATATCCTTCAAGAGATAATTATTATCATGAAACAACACAACATGAGCATGCAACACAACATGATCATCAGCGTAATTAGAATGCTATAATAGGGCAAGTGATAATTTTTCTATTTATTTATAAAATGTTGAATTCCTTTTGAAATGTAAGACTATAGATTTAAATATATAAACGCAGTTTAATAGTTATATACTTTAGTACATTAGTTACGACTTTTATTCTTTGTATACAATAATTTTTTGATCGAATTAACTGAAATTAGTTGATCCGGTAAACAAAATATACATTTAAAAATGTTATTAGTG